AGCAGTCGTAATTCAGGAAGTTTGTTTATCTGCATTTATTTTTAAAATTACGCATGATGAAAGCTGGTTCATTGCGTGAAAATATCTACTGCCCCTCAATATTTCCAATTGTAAGGTGATTTTATTACTTGAAAATGTCAGTCATGTAAAACAGTGCGTAATATATGTATACGAGATTTTGGAGCTAATGTGCAAAACGAAATGAAATATATAGTTTTAAAAAGCTACTATCCAAAACTTTTCAATTTATTTGTGTTATTTCTTTTTTAAGTGCTAGCTGTAAATTCATTTTTTTACTTGTTCTCAAAATAGAAATACACAGCTTATGTGGATAACGCTTTTTTAAATATTGTTCGTAGAAATCACAAGCAGTGATGATGCTAATGCTAAAGATGTCGGAAATTCTCCTGGTGTTGAAAATACAAAACAAGGTATGCCTTTCAATTCTATTTTATTTTATATATATTGCATAAACTAAGTTTATATGTTTTGTATTGTATCCCAATTCAAGTCATTTGATTCGTATTTATCTTTTTTTATGAAAATTTATATTGTTTAATAATATGCATGATGTACGTATACAGTGTTGCACTTTCGGACTCCAAACGTTCGTTTATTACGTATGTTCAATACGGTATCAATGACTTAAATTTTCCTTTTGCGAACGACAAATAATTTAAATGTACTTTGTACCAGACGGCAGTGGTCAGCACAACTTGACAACTCTTTGTTTATCGTAATAAATAATGCGTAGCAGCAAAGTGGCGCAACTCTTTTTATAAAGTGTTCAAATTGACTACATTTCATAAGTTGTATTGAAGAAAAACGATTACAATAAATAGACTAAAACGTTTTAAAACAAATTTTGACATAATGTACACCATACAGATCAGACCCTGCATTTTAGAAGTGCTCAGGTTATACCATCTGTTTTATAAGTGCTCGTGTTTGATTACATTAATTACTATTTTTTTTGTTAGAGTACAGGAGATTTGTCGAAGTATAACTTTATTTCCAAATAGAAAATATAATTTTTGCTCCTGGCTTACAGCATCAAAAGTGTTGAAGCAATTAAAAAAACATCACCAAGTCCAAGTTCTAATAAAAAACTTTCTTCAAATGCAGTCTTCAATCCACTTTTTACATTTACAAATGTTAGGAGATGTATGAATTTCTTTCATCACATGTCTAAGCAACACTGAATGGTAACATTTTCATCTGATTTAATCTGTTTTAACCATTGCAATAAAATTTTCTCACTTTAAAAACTGTACTTGAAGCACATTATCAGTCAGTTGAAATTAAGATGAGACATGAGGTGATAATGACATCATGCAATCTATTTTTTCATTGTAACATTTAATTGTATTCTGCTTGTTTAATCATGAAAAAATTCTCAACGAACTATCCTTTGGATATACTGTCATACTTCACGTTTGCACCACCATGCATAGCTAATAACATTAAAAATTGACGGCCACCATCAAATCGACTTGCTCAATATACTTCAATAAACAAGAAAATTACAAGTGTTTTTGAGCTCTCCCCTTCCTAAGTATACTGGAGATACCTCTTCAGTGTGAACATCATTCAAAAGTCCACAAAGATCATTTTCTAGCTTAGAATTAAATTTTCAATACTTTTACTTAGAATTTCATTTTGAAAGTTGTATAGAGCATAAAAGTTGCTGTATCAGTTTTTTCTACTAGAAAATTTCCCAAAATAGATAAGCAAATAACGTTACTAATCGCAAAACATAAAAACAACGACTGTTTTTATTGATTTCAAAAAATTACTTCCACTGATCTCAAAATAAATAAATATAATTATTTGGACTATCTTAGAAGAGCAAGTGAGTCTAAAAATCTCATTTATCATTCAAACTGTGTCTTAATTGATGATTGTCAAAGGGCTTAATGACCTCCATTAAAAGGTGCACGTCAATCAGACCAAGCCACTTACGACTTAAGCCACCCGATTGAGCAAGAGTAACACTACCGCTTAAATATCGCTTACAGAACTCGCTGGCTGTATCATGTTTTCTTAGATATTGTAGCACTGACCACTGTATAGAGGGCCGAAACTATAACTTTTGGTGGGATGGGGGAGGGGGTGTTTAATAACACTGCTGATGAAATATCGCTTGCAGAATTTAATTGCTGTATTATGTTTTCTTATTTATTGTAGCAAGGACCACTGTATAGAGGACTGAAACTATAACTTTTGGTGGGATGGGGGAGGGGGTGTTTAATAACACTGCTGATGAAATATCGCTTGCAGAATTTAATTGCTGTATTATGTTTTCTTATTTATTGTAGCAAGGACCACTGTATAGAGGACTGAAACTATAACTTTTGGTGGGATGGGGAGAGTGTTTAATAACACTGCTGATGAAATATCGCTTGCAGAATTTAATTGCTGTATTATGTTTTCTTATTTATTGTAGCAAGGACCACTGTATAGAGGACTGAAACTATAACTTTTAGTGGGATGTGGTAGGGGGTGTTTAATAACACTGATGATGAAATATCGCTTACAGAACTCAATGGCTGTATCACGTTTTCTCAGATATTATAGCACGGACCACTGTATAGAGGGCCAAAACTATAATTTATATTGGGGTGGAGAAGGGGTGTTTAATAGGACTGTTGATGAAATCTTGCTTACAGAACTTAATGGCTGTATCATGTTTTCTCAGATATTGTAGAACTGACCACTGTATAGAGGGGAAAAACTAAAACGTTAATTGGGTAGGAGATGGGGTGTTTAATAACGCTGCTGATGAAATCTTGCTGACAGAACTCAATGCCTGTATCATGTTTTCTCAGATATTGTAGCACGCACCACTGTATAGAGGATCGAGACTAGAATGTTTAATGGGTGGGAGAAGGGGGTATTCATATTTTCAATTGTAGTCCACTGATTTCTTGGGAATACCAACGTATTCTACATTTAACATAATGCAAATATAGTTAAACAAATAGACCAATAAATAGACAGTTAGATGGCTAGATATAAAATTGATTTGAAATTTTTATGTGAAAGCATGGAAATGATTTGCTCAATTGCTCTCTTTAACTTTATTTATAAGAGATCTCCAAATGAGCGTTCTATTATACGAGAAAATTTTTCAAATTAGTAAAACGTGATTGTGGTAGCCAAAGGCAATTGAAATGTTCTGCATCACACATAAAATACAAAAAAGATTTTACAACATTTGAAGCCGGAAGTTCAATCATTTGCTTGCATCGTTCGTTTTGCTTATCTTGTTAATTATTTTATACTTTAGCACTACAACATCATGATTACTTTCACATGCTTCTAAAACAGACAAGAATTCTATCAAAAGGACTGAAAGATATAATAAGAATATAAATCGCTTACTCTTTTTGTTGTGTTAAAAATTTATTGAATTGCATGATTCCTTTTCTATCTGAGTAAAAATTTCATCAAAAAGGAATTTTTCTCTAAAACGAAAATCTTGATACAATAGACACATGACAGACAAATTGTTTCTTGTAAATAAATCATCATATGCTTAATAAAATAATTGAAAACTGCAAAAACCATCTTCAATTTAACAAAGGTAAAACAATACCAGCATTTTTGCACGAGAATGCGAAAAACAGGAGGTAGAGATGGAGTTTGCAGACATAAAGGTAACGAGGTTCACTTTACAAAGGTGAATAAGAGAAACAGTACGTGTCAGATCATTTAGAGTTAAAGCTTAAAATGCATATAAAAAAAGAATTTTGCAGCCTGTGTTATACTTTTATTGAACAGAAATTTTAATATGACAACGGAGTTTCTCTACTAGTTTATGCGTATCTCTTTTCGTTCTCAAGATATTGAAGCTTTTATTATGTTCGATTCATCTCACTTGTGACGTCACATTGCATAATAAGAACTAGAATTATTCGGTATATTTGCCAATACTTTACTTCAACTTTGCAGAGTGTCTTTCTCTGTGATGTCTTAATGATATAAAATACTGACTACTATTATTAACGTAAAGTTGTCAGGAAAATGAAGTGTATTTAAAACATTGCAGCGACTCATTTTTCATGCAATATGATGTCACAAGTTAGATAAATTGGTAATAGCAAGGACCTCACTTCAGTATTTTTTGAATAAAGGAGTCATACATAATAGGTTTTAGAAAGCATTCATTTCAAAGTTCTGGTCAATGTAAATATAATTTAACTAGCAAAGTTTTTGTTTCATTGGCTCTTTAATGATGTTCAAACAAGGTTTGAGAGAATAATTGTTGAGTTTTCGCTGCTGATCGAACTTTAATGTTCATATTTGGCATTAAACATTAGATAGTCTATCTAAAAGATGAGTGTCGAGAATGGAAAGAAAAATGAAATGAAGCTGTTTTGTTATCTTCTGCTGTAAACAAATTTTTAGACTCTATAAAATATGCTCTAGAATTTTATATTTAAAATTTTCCAAAAACTTAAGATTATTTCTTTTAAAAATATATGAATTTACTGCAGAAAGAAGTTTTTGTGATTAATTGTATGATATAAGCTAACCTCAGATGTTGCCAGATTTGATTGTACAATTAATGAACTTATGATTTGTCTAGTGGTTGCTGACAAGTTTTTCCAAAAGTGTGCGGTAGCTAATAATATCCTTTCCTGATTGGGAAAGTTTAAGCTATTTTGACGTATTAATTTCGTTTCCTTCACCCTTGAATGGAATATTTTATCTAATTTTTTTAGACTTGGTGTTGCAAGAGTGGAAATACATTGATGAATCAACGAAACATAGAGAATTATTTTTAAAATTGATTGAATATGGACGCAACTCCAGTATTGAGGTTAAAGTGGTGGGCAATGTACGAGTAATTTTCTCAGAAGAGTTTTGCATTGGTAAAGGAAGTGATGGAGCACGTGTTTATCTTGGACTGGGTAAGGATGGTTACGGTAAAGCAGTGAAACAAATACGTCGAGATAGCTACATCCAGCTTGCGCTGCACGAAAAGAAAATTTTGAATAAATTCAACGCAAGAAATTCGAAATATGTTGTGAATTATTCTTTCCTAGAGGAAGCGACTGGAACAGAATATGTATATTTGACATTAGACTTATGTGAAGAATCATTGGACAGTTTTGTCAAGTCTTCTACTTTACATGATCTTCAAAAAGCTCTTCCCGAAATTCTCAGACAAATTTTGCAAGGATTAGTTGATCTTCATAGCGGCACAAATCCTATTCTTCATCGTGATTTAAAGCCCACCAATGTTCTTCGAGATTTACAAGACAACTTTCTGATAGCTGACTTTGGCATTAGTCGAATATTGGATAACGATTCTACGACACATGAAAGCAAGCCTAACATGGGAACTGAGTATTGGATTGCTCCTGAATCATATTGTGAAGATAAAGATACAGTCGATAAAGGACGGTACAAGAAAGAGTCTGATGTAATGGTAGGTGCAGGAATATAACCATTTGCACGACATGCATGTATAAAGTCAATTTGTAACATTACATTGTTAATCTTTTTAGAATGCAGGAATGGTAGCTTATTATATTGCAACAAAAGGAAAACACCCGTTTGGAACTAAACGGCATAGATTGGACAATATGTTAAATGGAAACCCTGTTGGCTTGGACGAAATCAAGGATGAAGCACTGAAAGACCTTCTATCTTGGATGTTAAATCGACAACCAGAAGACAGACCATCGGCTACCGTGGCGTTAAAACATCCATTTCTTATGTCAGATGACGAGAAATTTGACTTATTATGTAAAGTTGGAAATCTTCAGCAGATTAAGACAAATGATCCCCAGTGTAGTGTCGTTCAACAATTGAATAGTGAATCCTCAGATTGGAAAAGTAAAATAGACAGTGATGTTTATGATTATTTTAGAACGGACGTGGTGACTGGAAAGATTTTTACATATGACTCTTCATGGACAGAATGTTTAAGATTTGTTCGAAATATTAACCAACATTGGAACGATCGACCACGGCCAAAACCTCAACCAGAACCATTTTATAAGATTGGCGATCACAAGGCGTATATTCTCAAAAAATTCCCCAATCTCCCTGTTCGAGTGCATGCTACTGTGAGGTCCAATGAAGAATTGAAAAACAATCCAGATCTCAAGAACTTTTTCAATTTCAGTGAAAAGAAACCACATCAAAAATAAACAGTTTTTAAGCAGTAAAAACAGTTTGTGAAAAGGCAAGTGAACATGAAATATACCGTGTAAAATAAAATTTACTCAGATTGGAAAAGAGAAATAAATTTTTACGTATATCATTATTTTGATTGTTGGCTTTCATTGACAGATCGATAAATAGCGACCAGCACTACAACCATCCATTTTATAAAGTCGATGATCCTAAAGAGTTCTTTTTGAAATCCCAGTTCGGGTACGTGCGGCTGTCTGGTCAAATGGCGAATTGAAAAACATTCCAGAACTTAAAAACTTTTTCAGTTTTTAATGAAAGCGAACCACAATGAAAAGTTAACTGACAGGAAAACAAGTAACAAATCGACGATACGGTAGTTAAAGGATTTATTTTAGAGATGTAAAGTAGCAAAACACATTTCACGACGTATTTGGATGATGTATAATCACATTTCTGCATCTAGCTTACATTATTGAATGATATAATATCTGATTATTTAAATTTTATTCTCAATTGCTTTTGTTGAAGACGTATGACATTTAAAGTCAACTTTATAAAATACATAATAAAACTCTTATGCGATAGTAAATTGTATTTCTAGAATTACAATATTACCAAGGTCCCGTTTATTAAAGTATTAAAAGGCAGTGATAATGGCCAATGCCAAAAGCACAATTAAATAGACTTAAGCTCTGAATATAATAAAAACTTATTGTCTGAACAGACTGAACAAAGGCAATTAAAAAACAAATAAAGCCTTTACAGCAAAGGAAAAGTGAATCCGGTATAGCACGCAGCTTAAAAGTCTGGTCTTGAATGTTATGGGCTCTTGGGAGTTGCTTATGCTGTAAACCTAAAGCATACGTAGCTTCTTAAAGCAGAATATTCACAAAGAGGTTTACGAAGATAATTCGAGTAAAACCGACACAAATGCATGTCAATAACAGGATAATAACCGCTAATGCAACTTCACGTTTACTAATTAAGACACAAATATTACTACTGAGCACCCAACACAAATAATTTTCGAGGTAAACTGAAAAAACTTTTAAAACCTCTTAATGAAGGCTATTTTTGAAATACAGGGAAAAAACTACTATGAAAACGTGTATTTAATTTTATACCTGCACTGAAAAAATAGCCCTATAGTGGAATATACTGCGCACCAGGATTTGTTGTGGCTTTTGCCCTTTCTGTAGAAAGACATGGCCTGTTAGCAGGCTAAACTACGTACAAAGCATAATGTAAACTCACGGTTTTTGGAGGAATCCGTTGCCAAGTTTAAGGAAAGGACGATGAATCTTTCTTTCCTTTATTACCATGAAGTTAACGGATGCTGAGCACGTGAAATCATTCAGAATCCAAAAACAATTTTTGACGTTGATGGTACATCCATCGTATCCAACTTTCTTGCTACCTGACAAACATCCCCGGTTTCGTGTCGACGACGGCAAGCACAGAAGCAAGATTGGCTATTTCTTACAACTGTGCATGTTGTCTACGGCATGAAAGCGGAAACATCGACAGATGGACTTTTGATCGAAAATTAGGACTTTTGGTTTTGTTTTGCATGCTGAAAAAATTCCATGTTTTTATTAGGAAAATTTTATAATTAATTAATGTAGAAATTTGGCTGGTCGATGGTGGCGTGGTTTTAATCATCTGCAAAGCAAGAAAAACTATTGATAGTGACTTTGAGGATTTGCGGGAATTTTTGCTGTTGTAAATAGTTTAGTAAGAATACTATTCTTACCATGATATTATTGATATATCGTCGTTTATACTTCGCTTGTGTTTAGGATTGGCGGATTAACCAGTGGGAATCGTACCTTAGATATAATACCCAGAATAGTAACGTTTTGAGCTGCCATAGTCTAATAGGTCAATAACTTCGGTCATATTCCAATAGAACAAGGACTTGTTTATGGACATAAAAGTTGAGCTGATGGAAGCATTGCTTAAGAGCAACATGTTCTATTTGCGATTATAGTATGTGATGTAGACGGATTGATGGACAAAAGATGTCTCGTGTTGTCTAACGTCATTAAAGTATATACTGTCCCATCCTTGATCATTATTCGGAGGACTTCCCAGCTAGCAAAATCATGTTGTCTCAGCGTTGTACCAACGTTCGTCGAACGTTCACTCAACGTCGGGGACCAACGTTTTTTTGTGAACTCGTAGGAACGTGGTGGCGACGTTGGGATGAACGTTGGTATGTAACGTATTTTCAACTTAAGCCGACGTTTATACAACGTTCATACAACGTTTATCCGACGTTCATTTAACATACAATAAATGATGCATTATTTGTGAAATCATAAAACAACCTTTCCAATGATACGAACTAAAGTTTAATTTCCGTATAATCAACTTTTAATTCATCTATTTTGCTGTGCGTGTTTTAATATACATATTTACAAAAATGCTAATTAAGTCGATTCCAATAAGTTGCAATTTCGCACCTGCAAGAAAATAACATATATGATTATTAGAAAATGGTAGTCTATACATCATTTTTATTATATGTCTTACCACCTACAACAACAATGACAAATTTGTCTGTAAAAGATGCCATTTAAATGGAAAACTGAATCGTCTGCTTACGTACGTCGGACAAAAGAACTTATCTCGCGCTACAACGTCATGTCATACGCACGAGAAACAAAAAAAGTGAACAAAACTTTAATCGTTACGGCACCTTTTTCACATTTAACCAACACTTGCTTTTTTATATAAATAATAAAACAATTATTGAATTGGGTTTTTACGTAATATAAAGAAATATCAAGGCATCAATGTGCTCTATCTGCCTCAGCGTTGGTAGACTGAACAAACCTTGGCATTCATAAGTCTTAATTCATATACTATTTCATTCAAGAATTGTTTAATATCACGCTAAGCAAAGTGTATATTATAAATCTAATCATGTAGTTTGAGTTAAGAAAATTTAAAACTTGCACAAATCTAATACCTGCATTAAAATGAACGTTTTTAAAGGCACGCATGATGTATATGTGTCCATTCCATTTTGCTTTACTTATTATTGAAGGACAATGAAAGACACATGCTCACTTTCTTTAAGTGCACATGCCAATAATGTTATTGTGTATTTTTCTCAACTTACACAGACAAGAAAATACAAATATGTTAACTATGAGATTACGAAGTAAAATAAGTTGAGTTCTCCATGTCTAAGTTGAGAAAATCAAACAAAGAAAAAATGGCATCAATATACTTTACCCAGCAATCTATGATGACAATGACATGTTACCTTAAATCTGGAACCATCTTGCTGGCCTGGAGCATATTTTAAAAATTCGGCAATTTGATCTTCAACGTTGGCCTCGCTGCAACCTTTATGAGCTTTGAGGAAGACTTCTAACAAGTGAAACGAAACAGAAAAGACATACTTCATATAAATTGCATAGATAAAACACTAAATCATTTTCGTAAGCTGAATGATAAACAACAATTCATTAAAGTGACATATGCAAAACAGTTTAATGTATTAGCTTTTAAAACTTGCAATAATATTCCTTATGACAAGGAGCAACATAAATGGCTGTTTTTTCCAATTCATGAACGAGAAAAAAGAGACAAAACATGGTACTGCTGCTGCAATCATTATCATCTAATTGTGCTTACTTGTTATAACTTTGCAGAGGGCAAGGTGCTGAAATGGTCGCTTTGACTTTCTGCCTTTTAAACTATATTGGGACCAGAGATTATTTGTTCCCAGCTTTGTCATATATCATCTAACACCTTTTGACAGGTATTTGCGCACGGTGCTACCAAAAACTGCAGCTAGTAAAGAGAGTAAAAGATAAATTATATGGAAAAGTTCAATTTAGACATATATATATATATATATAAAATGAACTAAAATAAAATGGACAATTGTTTGCTGTCGCTACTCAGAGTTTCACGCCGTAGGGCGATCTTCAGGCAACTGACAGATAATATTTTATTTGCTGACTATATACATCGACTAAAAGGTGTTAAGTTACATGACGGCATGCACTAAACATATCGGAACGTTTATTTAAAATGTTCTTTTTACGTCCTTTCAGGATAAGTAGCCTTTCTTCAAGGCAAAGACGGCAGGTTCTTTGGTTTTTGTTCGGAGGTGGAAGTTGTTTGATGAAGTCCCATTTAATGTTGTAGTTACGTTTGTTTTCTTTCAGTGTCCACGTGTATTTAGAAAGTTCTGTCTCGTTGCGGTATTTAATGTTCGTAATTGATTTAATGTGGTTTCGATATCGTGTCTTTCAACCAAGCTCTTAAACAAAGCAACTTCACCACCCAACTCACCTTTAATCCATCAAACATCAATGTAAACACCACGTACAACAGAAAACGTAACGTCACCTGGTTTAACCCACCATACAGCAAAACGTAAAACTCATCGCCCATGACTTCCTACAACTTATCGACAAACATTTCCCATACTATACTCTCCAAGATATTCAACCGACACACAATACGCGTAAGCTACAGCTGCGGCGAAAACATGAAAACTTTCATAACCAGACACAACAAGACTATTTTAAAAAACCCAGACACAACCCAGAACAAGAACAACCCACCAAAGAAATGTAACTGCAGACAGAAACATCTATGCCCGACAAATGGCAATTGCCTGAAATCCAACGTGATTTACAAAGCCGACGTGACAACGACTGACAACAACGAAACAAAAACTTACATAGGTGTTACTGCATGCGCTTTTAAGACACGATATCGAAACCACATTAAATCAATTACGAACATTAAATACCGCAACGAGACAGAACTTTCTAAATACACGTGGACACTGAAAGAAAACAAACGTAACTACAACATTAAATGGGACTTCATCAAACAACTTCCACCTCCGAACAAAAACCAAAGAACCTGCCGTCTTTGCCTTGAAGAAAGGCTACTTATTCTGAAAGGACGTAAAAAGAACATTTTAAACAAACGTTCCGATATGTTTAGTGCATGCCGTCATGTAACTTAACACCTTTTAGTCGATGTATATAGTCAGCAAATAAAATATTATCTGTCAGTTGCCTGAAGATCGCCCTACGGCGTGAAACTCTGAGTAGCGACAGCAAACAATTGTCCATTTTATTTTAGTTCATTTTATCTTACGCTCTTCTAATATATAGAATATTGAGCGCTCTTTTATCCAGGAATATTATCCATAATAATATATTCGCTCCTTCTGAAGTTGAGCGCTGTTATAAACCTGAAAACTCGAGGACAATTATGCAACAGATTAACTTTAACTATTCGCTGAAAAACATTGGCCTACCAGCTAAAGACAGTTATCTCAGAAACCTCATCACCAAAACCCACGAATTCGTACAACGCATGAGATGGAAAGCCCACTTCTTTCTCCGCCACACTGACGACGCTATTCGCACACAAAGACCGCACACTTATGGCTTAAAGACAAAACGAAATCCACCACCAGCTCCATCCTTAAAACCTTTTGAAGACGACCTTTCCCAGTTAATCGAAAACATCGAGTTCCGCAACATCCACAACGATTTTCTAAAATCATTACACAAAGACATGAGCAAAATCAACGCATCAAACAACGTCTTCATCTTCGCCGACAAAACAACAAACATCTATGAAATGGACGCCTCAAATTACAATAAACTACTAACAGACAATGTGACAAAGACATACAAACACACGCAAGAAGACACTGTAGAAGAAATAAATTCCGAACTAAAACTAATCGCTGACAACCTAAAATCGCCGACCGAATAAACTCCATGAACCATACTCCAGCATTCATATCTTTAAAAGACCACAAACCAGACTTTGAAAACAACCCCAAATGCCGCCTCATCAACCCCGCAAAAGCCACCTCGGAAAAGTCAGCAAATACATCCTAGACAACATCAACAACATAATACGAAACGAACTAAAACTAAACCAATGGCGCAACACAACAGATGCTATCACTTGGTTCAAATCCATCACCGAAAACAAAGAAAATCATTCATATCATTCGACATAGTTGACTTTACCCATCGATCACCGAACACCTACTGGACAAATGCCTAGCGTGGGCAAAACAATACACAACAATCACAGAAAAGACCACACCATTATAAAACACGCAAGAAAATCACTTCTTTTCCACCAAAACAAATCATGGTCCAAACGCAACGCTACCAACACGTTTGATGTAACCATGGGCAGCTATGATGGAGCGGAAGTTTGCGAGCTTGTAGGGCTATTCTTACTCGACCAACTACAGCAGCGGTACGGAAGCAACGTCGGCTTATACCGTGACGATGGCCTTGCAGTCATAAATACGAAATCTGGAAGACTCTGCGACAAAGAAAGAAAACCCTCTCACACCTATTTGACGAGCTTGGACTAAAAATCACAGCGATGACAAACCATGAACGCACAAACTTCCTTGACGTAACATTTGACCTTAGCAACGACACCTACAAACCATATAGAAAACCCAACGACGAGCCCCTCTACATTCACAGATCTTCCAACCACCCACCATCAGTATTACGCCAACTACCCACATCCATCAACAACCGAATTAACACACTCTCATCTGACAAAGACACCTTCGAAAATGCCGCACCAATTTACAACCAAGCTCTTAAACAAAGCAACTTCACCACCCAACTCACCTTTAATCCATCAAACATCAATGTAAACACCACGTACAACAGAAAACGTAACGTCACTTGGTTTAACCCACCATACAGCAAAACGTAAAACTCACATCGCCCATGACTTCCTACAACTTATCGACAAACATTTCCCACCAAATACTATCTCCAAGATATTCAACCGACACACAATACGCGTAAGCTACAGCTGCGGCGAAAACATGAAAACTTTCATAACCAGACACAACAAGACTATTTTAAAAGACTTAACCCAGACACAACCCAGAACAAGAACAACCCACCAAAGAAATGTAACTGCAGACAGAAACATCTATGCCCGACAAATGGCAATTGCCTGAAACCCAACGTGATTTACAAAGCCGACGTGACAACGACTGACAACAACGAAACAAAACTTACATAGGTGTTACTGCATGCGCTTTTAAGACACGATATCGAAACCACATTAAATCAATTACGAACATTAAATACCGCAACGAGACAGAACTTTCTAAATACACGTGGACACTGAAAGAAAACAAACGTAACTACAACATTAAATGGGACTTCATCAAACAACTTCCACCTCCGAACAAAAACCAAAGAACCTGCCGTCTTTGCCTTGAAGAAAGGCTACTTATTCTGAAAGGACGTAAAGAACATTTTAAATAAACGTTCCGATATGTTTAGTGCATGCCGTCATGTAACTTAACACCTTTTAGTCGATGTATATAGTCAGCAAATAAAATATTATCTGTCAGTTGCCTGAAGATCGCCCTACGGCGTGAAACTCTGAGTAGCGACAGCAAACAATTGTCCATTTTATTTTAGTTCATTTTATCTTACGCTCTTCTAATATATAGAATATTGAGCGCTCTTTTATCCAGGAATATTATCCATAATAATATATATATATATATATGAACTACTAACCAACCAATCAGACGCTCCAAACGCCTACAAAAATCTTTGTAAATAATATATTGTCACATTCTGACGAAGGCTCGAAGCACCGAGTTGAAAGCTTAATAAAAAATTTAAAACAAATCCAGAGAATCTTTATCATTATCATAATATGCCAGGTTTACTAATTTTCATATATATATATACATATATATATATAAGATTAAAGTTTCTCCGGATTTTTAAATGATTTTTATTGAGCTTTCGACTCGTTATAAAACTATCGAAATGAAAAATATTTATTTACACGTGCACAGCTTGGGACGTTTAGACTCTAATTGGATTAGTGGGTGGATTAATGTGATTGGATGGGGTGAAATCGTTGCCATGGGTTTTGATGTGTTGTTAATATGATTGGTGTTAGTAATATTAGAGTGTAGTGTTTTAGTTTTAGTGTTACTAACACCAATCATATTAACAACACATCAAAACCCATGGCAACGCATTTCACCCCATCCAATCACATTAATCCACCCACTAATCCAATTAGACGCTCTAAAACGTCTCCAAGCTAAAAGCACGTCAACCAAAATATTTTTCATTCTGATAAAACAACGAGTCGAAAAGCTCAATAAAAATCATTTAAAATCGGAGAAACTTTAATCTTTACATATATTCAATGCCTGGATTACAAATTTTCAAACTTATACATATATATATATATTGATGAGAAGAAGAAAATACACAAAAACAAATTTCATCCCTGGATGAAGGAGTTGAATTTGTCTCAATTTTCTTCTTCATCAATATTTGCCTGCTCTTAAGCATCGAGCACTGTACTTGGAGATTCAAATAAACAAAACTTCCTATTAAAACCAATATAAAATTTTGTCGAGCACTGTATGATAATCCGCAATGGAGAAACTAAACTTCAACTACAGCATCAAGAACATTCCTCTACCATCACCAAAGGGATGAAATTGTAGTTTTTGTGTATTTTCTTCTTCTCATCAATATTTACGCTCTGCTCTTAAGCATCGAGCACTGTACTTACGGAGATTCAAATAAACAAAACTTCCTATATATATATATATATATATAACCATTTTGATCTCGAATTGCAAAACAAAACCATCCAAAGTGAATTGTGAGAGCTTCAAGAAAGACTAGTTTCTTCGTTAAAATTTTTTAGCACAAATAAAACGACACACTCCTAAGAGCCGTTTGAAGTATCGTAACGTATTTAAATCAATCAGAACACGACAATGCTCTCACGAAAAACACGATGCTAGATTCATATAGTTTAATCAGATAATTTGACCTCCTAACGTCAGGAAAATCGTCACTAAAATTACATTTCAGGCTTTGACAAACGTGCATGTTTTCAAGCTTCAAACACAAATGGTAGAGAAAAAGTCAATATTATGCTACGTAATTGCAAATGAAACTATTCGTTTCCACGTTTCCAAACCGATAAAGGGGAAGGGCTATTTCTTCCTTTGTAACATTTTTACGTAACACTTGAAAGAGTCATGCATAAAAAATAGACGGTGCCAATAAATATTACTAAATACGTATGGGTGGTTAACTTTCCAAAACTTACCAACTTTCTTCTGGACATTTCTTCATCAAGACTAGAGGATAGCTCCTTAAGTTCTTCAACCGAATCTAAGGGATTAGGTACAACATATTACAAAATTTCGTGCTCGTCTACACCTTTCGTAACGCTTAACAGAGCACGCAATATTGGCAACGCTTCTTCTTGCTTATCAATTAATGTTTCCAGTTTGGTGAGAACTGATCTTTGGAAGCCTACAAGATAGATAAGAAATCAATAGGAGAACTACCTCTCACTACTCTAACACCATCCACCACTACCTCTCACTACTCCAACACCATCCACCACTACCTAGTCAATAGTTAATAACTTATGTATAACCTACGTAATATCTTAAAAATATAAAACCTTACAACATGCTGACAAGAAAATTCAAATAAAACTCGCATCAAATTGCTAATTGAATACACAAACATAATAAAAACGCTATTCAAAAACTATATACTGTAGAAAAGGTACCATTAATGTTTGGTTGAGAACGTCTTCCTGCAGGTGTTATGTTCATAAAACTTGTCGAAGGCGTTTCGTGAGATGAAAGGTCATGCGCATCTGCAAAGCAATCACGTGTTGCAGTTAGTTGTGAAGAAAAAAACATTTCAAACGACACGAAATGAACGTAAAAGAAAAGGTAACAACAAGACATGCAATAATGAATTGAAAGAAAAGCTTGCCTGAGACACCACTTTTTCGTTGAGAATGTCTTTCTCTTGTTCTGTCAGTTGTAGGAATTTCTTGTGAAGAGACGTTGCTTGTATCTACAGAGAAGACACGTACTGGGTTTAACATATATCTTTATTGAACGCACGAACGTCATTTAAATTAAGGTACTGCAAGTTTCAAAAGTCAGAAACAGAAAGGTGACTAAAATAAAAACCTCGAGAAAGTTTCATTTAGAAGATTGATAGCAAACACTGAGAATTAGATTTGAACGAATGTATTTTGATTAAATCGTGGTGAACACAACTGCAATTTCAACTATAACTAACATTTTGTCAACTAATTACAACAACATCTTAAAGGACCAACGCCTACAGCACCTGTAGAACATACATAAGCCCTATAATACAACAATGGACGTAGAAAAACAGTAAATCTACAATACGAATGTTAAAGTTATTTAAAAAGAATCAATCAAAACTATTTCAACATTTTAGTCGACATAATATATGAAAGTTGCTGATTAGTCTGTTCTGATAACAGAAAACTTACCACTACGTTGGTATGCTACTAGTAGATGGGAAGTTATTATGATCCTTTGAGTTTTGGATTCTGGTGCTAGTTCACCGTCATATAAATATAGATCAACATTATATTAGTATGAAATAATAAATTTTATACATGCATGTTTCTGTCAAAAATTGTCTATTTGTACAAAGTTATAATAGCGCTTATACCTTTCTTGCAGGAGATCAGCTCGCTGTACACCGGCAAATCTAAAAGCAAAATCACTCATTAGATTTAAATGCAACGTAGCAATATGTGAAAAACTGCACTTCTTTGAATAAAGCAATGGCTATGCATTGCAACACGCTGATACTTACTTCTAGAATTTGTGATAAGATTTCATTGACGGCTGAAAGAGTAAACGAAACTGTCTGAATTCTGTAGCTTCCATCTGTCAACCTCCATTAAACTCCTGGTGTTTGACAAATGTGGGGATAAATAGTTTAGCTCCACTAATTTTTCCTTACAGCTTCTACATGGGCAACAGACATTTTAACAGCGATTTCCCTCATCAAACCATAATCAGTTTACCCTTAACCCCAGACAGTTAATGCATGGTCAATGGAAAATTTTACCATATCAACAGGCAGTGACAGAAAGAGCTAACAAAGGGATGATGTTCTTCTTGTATCTGTTTTCTGGAAATATGAGTTTCAAATATTATTATTTTGAGAGTAATGCTCGACCAAATACTTCCTTTTTGTGCTTGTCACAACAAAATAACCAGTACAAAATTTTGTACCTTTAACAAGTGCGCAGGAGCATCACAAATAATGCCTTTACTGTAACAGTTAGAACCACCGATTAAGTCTTCTATAAACTCATCCAAAACTCCAAGTTTTTGGCTGAGTCACCACATGTTAGGACAATAGGAAACACTAGATTTGATATTCAAAATGCCACAACAACTAATACATACATTTTTGGAACAAACAAAGGCACATCAACATTTAAAGAGATTTCAAGATGATTAATGTTCTTAACTGTTTCTGGGATGCTTGTGGTGATAGTGCAACAATTGTTCACCAAAAGAATTACACAAAATCCGCCAGATTTTTGGATGAATACATCTTGATGTATGCAACAAGAGTGCAAGCACAACTAGACGGATGATGATTATCATCATTGGGAGAACAAAGCAAACCATCAACAGCATTTTGCTTAATTGAGTTACTATTCAATGAATCAATATCGAAAAGAAGCATTTAAACTATCATGCTCAAAATCAGAAGAATCAGAAAATGCCTTTCCAATCGCGCCTTCAAGATCAGCACCATGGCAAAAGAAACATGGTGCGTTTTATTATATGATGAACAAAATAAAAAATGTAACTGTCACTCTATTTATTTTGATTGGTTTAAACATATCCTAATGAACCCATTCCTAAGTGCTAGTGATCACAACATTTAGCAAATGTTTTCAAAAATGATGAGTCATTCACGGGTCATGGTAACTTATATCTCCTCAACCATTTGTAACTTATTCTTTTTTTACATGCATGTATCATACCTAATTTATACATAACCCCAAAATTTTATATGGATTACAGTTTACTCTAACAACAGCAAATGGAAAATGTTCTAAATAAAACAATTTAACTGACATTGCAAGCTTACTAAAGAAATAGGCTAGAATAAACTAATCTAAGAGATAAAAAGTGGGTTGTAAAGTATATTGTCTTGAATGCAATAATTGGACAAATGATACTTACTAGAAGTATTATGTCCATGATATGAATAAACATTCAATTACCTCTATGTAAAATTATATCACTGTTTAAAACTGCTGTTTTGCAATAGAAAGTACAACTATTTTAAGGTTTAAGGCTACGTGACTCTTAATCAAAACATTTTGTAAATCACATAATAAACATCATGTTAAAAACATGTTAATCATCACCGCTTATCAGTCAGTCAGTTATATAATTCCAGATATGCTAAAACGTTACGTAAGATTTCAGTTATAAAACAGAATTTGACAATGAAATTCATACGATAATACATCGGGAATTCAATGATCACAAAAATTGTAATCATTAAATTTGAACTATAAACATCAGTCAGCGTGATGATTTGACGCCCTAGATCCGCCCTGCATGTTATGGGCAATAACAACATACGTACTGATGAATACCATATCCAAATGCTGTAGCAAGGTGTAGTGATAATATCTTTATAAAATAAAAATAGAAACTAAAACTAAGAATAAACTAAGCTTAGTAAATTTGTTTGTTCCTACATATACGGACTCATAAAGTCACGGCAATAGTAACGACAATCTCTAGATTATAAGAATGATAAAATAAGAGTACTTACCACAGTTTTGCGCATTGAAACATATTCTAGATCATGCCTCTAAACGAAGCGCATTATCTTGTCGACAACTATGAGGCAAATTCGATTCTTGCGAGCGATTTTCAAATGAACACGAACGCCGATATTTTACAGGTATCGAAATAATTTTGATGTCACATAGATTTAAATAACTTTATTTATCCATGACAGATATTTGAGATAAGTAAAACGTCGCGAAATGCCTTAAATATTCGAAAATCCTTGTTTGTAAACGTAATCTGTCATACATTTCTATAGCAATTTGTATCTCAAGTGGGTAACCGGAAGTGCATTTTGCATATATAATTACGCTTCACATTTAAAAACAAAAGCTCAAAATAATTCGCGATTTCGCTGCCAAGCAAGAAACCCGATGTAGTGTTCATCGCAGAAACATAGCTTACATGATAGTTGTAATCTTGAGATATCTGAGTATAGCATTGTTTATGAAAACAGAGCTTTTGGACCACATGGAGGTGGTGTATTTGTCTATATATAAAAAAAATCTATTCAGTTTACAGTTCTTGACTAATTTAGTTCGACCACGTTTGAGGCTTTTTGGGTTAAAATTATGCCAATCAACTAGTTATAAACTAATTTGTTAATTTAATTACAGCAATAGACATTTTTATATTCTTGGTGTGAAGTCGTTTTGAATTGTGCTTTTAATAAACTTAACTTTTGCCATCTTACGGATCAATTCTGACTACCAGAAACAGCTTGAAATATACCTAAATGATACAACCAAACATCGGACATGATCTTAACAAATCTTTATAGTTTCTACAATAAGAATTCTATATCAGCTTTCCTTCATTTAATTTGTCAGAATATAACGTAATGTTATCTTATCAAGGCGTGAGATTTACTTTTCCCAACATTTAAGCCAACGAACGCCTAATTTGTGTTATTCAACTTAAACAAGCAAATGAAGAAAAAGTTCCACAATCTGATATTGTGAATTTTCATGTATAAGACCGACTTAATTATGGAGCTAAGGTTTTTTTTAGCAAACTCCTAAAATACCAAAGAAACGGTAATAAAATTTAAACATGTTAATGAAAACAACAAAAATCATAAGGCCGTATCTTTGCTTTTACATAACAATTAACTTTTAATGTTATAAATTCAGTTGCACAAAATAATTTGCTACGTATTAACTTAACAGACGAAGTCATTTGACGCTTAACTTATCAGAACGTTAAGAAATCTGAAAGATCGAATGTTCAAAGCTTCAACCGTCGACCAGTAAAAGGTTTGTAAGACAAAAGACAAAGAATTATCTTGTGTGTAAACGATGTATAAATGAGATCTTGAATAAAAGTTGTTCGTCAAATATAATTAATACTTTTAATAAATATTAGTCTCAAACTAGTAATATAAAATATACATCATAGATACCCGCAGCAACTTGTGAACAATTTGCTTACCGAAAAATCACTGTCATCTAAAGGAAGCGTGTTTATCGTGATGTGCTTGCTTGCTAAGGAATTCAACCTGCTTGCTAGCATGCAATTATATTTATCTTTGGGTCCGGACGGTATATTTATAAAATATGTGTTATTTCATTATACTTGTGATAGTATGAAATGACATTTATGAATCAGGAAGAAAATTTAGTTTGAAATTGCAAATGGACTCATGCATGTGATCATTGAATAGTTTAGATATTTAAGTCGTATTTCAAGTAGAAATATTGATCAGGAAGTGTGTTATCTTTGTGATAAACTAGTTTGTAAGTCCACATATTAAATGCGGCTAAAAAATTTGCTAATCTTTTTAACGTTACAATTGTCTTTCGTCCAGCTTTGGTTGGGAAGGTTCATGTATGCAAATTCATCGCATTGTAGTTACGATAAATTTAAAAACAGATATGAGTATTGCAACTTATTAATTCTTTTTAACTCTTCCACTTTATGGTCATACTTCCAAAATATCTTAAAAACGGTGTATTTTAGCAAAATTTATACTTATTTCTATTGATCAATT